GGTGGTACATTCCATACAGAAGACCGCTGAAGTTTTCTTCTGGACTGATTCATCCACTGTCCTGCATTGGTTGGAGTCATCGCCATCCCGATGGAAAACGTTCGTCGGTAATCGGGTCGCCAAGATCCAGGAAACAACAGAATCCTGTCACTGGAAACACGTTTCCGGAGTATCCAACCCAGCTGATCCTCTCTCCCGTGGCGTTAATCCAATTGACATCAAAGACCACTTTCTCTGGTGGAGTGGTCCGGAGTGATTATGTAAGTCACCATCCGACTGGCCCGTAAGCGATCTGCCCGTCCTTGATCCGCTTTGGATGTCCGAAACGAGAACCCGAGTAGCCATGATAGCTACTCTTGATGCAAGATTTTCTGATCAACTTTTCAATCGATATTCCAGCTTCAGCAAGCTTCGCCGATCCTTCGCATACTGGATGCGGTACTTCCGTGCCTTGAAGGCAACCATCAAGAAAACCACCATCGAATTATTCGTAGCCATAATAACCACTGCCGACCTACGTGAAGCAGATCTTGCCTTAGCTCGTTTGGCTCAGCGAGAAACGTTCTGCGAGGTATTCTCCAATCTTCTTGCTGGAGAACGAGTACCGTCGTCATCACCACTGAAATGGCTCAATCCAAGAGTAAGCAAAGAAGGCTTGATTCGAGTTGGCAGTTTCCGATGATGCTAAACACCCGATCGTCCTCTCATCAAAGCATCTGCTATCCGATCTGTTGGCCGATCACTACCACAAGACGCAGCTGCACGCTGGTCCCCAGCTGATGCTCGCCACGATTCGCCAGAATTCCTGGAACATCGGTGGTTGAAACCTTGTTCGCCGTACGTACCACCAGTGCCACACATGCTTCCGCAGCAGACCCGTCCTGGTGCAGCAGAGCATCGCCGACTTGCCCACATCAAGAGTCACTCCGACAAGACCATTCGCCGTATGCGGAATTGACTACTGCGGCCCCGTGTACATCAAGTCGCCGATCCGCAATCGGGTGCCAACGAAGGCATATATCGCTATATTTGTGTGCTTCGCCACTCGCGCCGTTCACATCGAGCTTGTATCCGATCTATCTACGCCGGCTTTCCTGGCCGCTCTCCACCGTTCCGTCACTCGCCGTGGAAGGATGACCGAAATCCACAGCGACAACGGCACCGCTTTCAAGGGTGCAGCTAACGAGCTGCACATAATCTACCAGATGATCAAGACCAACGAAGCTGATCGGAAGCAAATCCTCGACTGGTGTGCGGAAAACGAAATTGTTTGGTGTTTCATCCCACCCCGTGCGCCCCACTTTGGCGGTCTGTGGGAGGCAGCCGTCAAATCAGCCAAGAACCACCTGTTACGTGAAGTTGGTACCGTCAACGTCAGCCACGAGGACATGGTCACATTACGCACCCAAATCGAGATGCGTCTGAATTACAGACCATTATTTCCGATCCCAACTGATCCGTCAGACATGGAAGTCCTCAAACCTGGACACTTCTTGATCGGAACCAGCTTCCAAGTCGTCCCGGAACAAATCTGTGCAACATTCCGGACAATCGTCTCACGCACTGGGAGCTCACACAGAAGGTACGCAGAGTACCTAAAACAGCTTCAGTCGCGATCCACGAAGTGCAAGTCACCAGTTACCATTGAACCTGGACCAGTCGTGGTGATCAAGGACGACAACCTACCACCGATCCAATGGCCACTTGGAAAGAACACCAAGGTACACCCGGGCAAGGACGGAGTAATTCGTGTCGTCACTCTGAAAACTGGATCATCCGAAGCCGTCGCTAGACCAGTTGCCAAGATAGCGCTATCGGCGATTCCGGAGAACCAAGTTCCAGAATCCTTCGAGTGAGACCTGGTAGAGCACGACGAAATTTGCTCGAAGCTTTCGAGGGAATCTAGCAGGTAATTGTGGTTCCAATACTCTCTATGTATCTTGTCAAGTCTACCTGGTATTTTCTATCCCCAGTCGATGACACCAACGATGAGCAATAGCCATTGCTTATCACCAACTTTCTCTGCATCGAGTTCAGTAAATCCGGTAGCCACAACACGCCGAACGTTAGCGACCACTCACGTCGTCTATATTTCACTGTCCAGCCCGAAACGAACCGAGTTGTTGATGAGTTGTAGCTCCGAGATCAGAAGAGAGATTATGATGGGAATTTGCAAACAGTGTTGTACCAACCAAGTTAGTTCAAAATGGCCGGAATGATTGATGTTGAACTAAATTTAAACTAAATTAATCCTAAATGAACTTAAACCTACTAAACCTAAATGAACTAACTAAATCCTATAGCTAAACATAAAGTTAAATCATAATTCTATAAATTGAAACGAATCTAAAACTAAAACGGTATCACCCTAATCTAATTGATAAGAGAAGAAAGAGGAAGCTGCGCGCATGCGCTACGCACTGATGCCCACTTGTAGTGGTCACTAAGTAGGAGATGAAACACATTGTAAAGATAGAGTAACCGTTGGAAGCGATCAAAAAAAAAAAATGGCAAGGAAGTGCAGTAGTGCATTTTTTTTCCTTTGATTTGTTTTCCGTCGATCTTGTTTTCCGTGCTGAGCACCAATGCTACCGACGCCAGGGAGGCAGCTCCCACACCTGGACCCTACCTATCGACCCATCAACTCATGAACCGGGGACCAACGGCTTTACTTCCCTCCCGAAGGAAGGCGTGATCAGAGATGTTATGCCGCAGAACATCCCGACGGTGCCGACTGGGAATGAACCCAGGCCTGCTGGGGTGAGAGGTAATCACAGTAGTGCATTTAATTTTCGAATTCCTTTGTGGAAGGTGGAAGAAACAGTGAATCATCGCAACAGAATTTCGAAAAGGAACGGGTAAGCCCCATCACTTACCGAATGGGGTAATAAAATCTAATCTAGATTTATGAAAATCTGGATTAAATCCCGTATCATCCTCGATGGAACTACAGAAACATTTTGAAAACATTGGGGACTTTCAAAAAACTTCGTCAAACAACTCATTACTGAATTCTATTTGCAATGTTTATGGATAGCAATGTCTGTATAAATCTTTTTTTTTATCCCCAATGTCTGTAAATTTTCTGTTGTAAACCAGTGAGCGAATATAACATGCAATGTTGAACGATTTTTCCCATGCCTGGATCTAGCTTTCTCTTCCATAACCATGCTTTCGCTCTTGTTTGATATTGCATTTTCTAGATTCAAAACAACTTCCCTCGTTGGAAATCTTACAAACCGAGCAAAAGCTATCAGAGCTCACGTTTCCCCATCTTGGTTGGATTAAGGATTTTAGTGACGCTCCAGCAACCAAACGAAGCACAGAGAATAGTTTTTTACAATCAGCTACGGTGAGTCTCAGCGCACAAAGTAATGGAATTATCGTGCTGGATTTCTTTTTCCCCGGCTTCTAATTCAACGGAAGTAACGTGATATATGTGAATAGCCTCCGCACCGCTGCTGCAGCTGGTGGAATGATGGTGGACCATCTGTGGGGGTGGTCGGTGGCAAAGGAAAGGATTTACTTTTTTGTGAGCTCCCGGTATAGTTACTTTCTGGCGCCGCCACCATTCGGTTTTTATCTACTTCAAACCGGAAAGTGGATTTCCTTCTGGAAATGAGGATGGTTTTTCTCGCCCTCGCCTACGCTATCTCTGAGAGGGCGCGCGCGTTGCGTCACCATTTTACTGGGTACTAAAAACCGGCAACGAGTGAATTTTCCAACAAGTGCGCGCTTTTTACGACGATGCTACTAAGTCTGCATCACACGAGAATTGGAGCAAAGATCATCCCCCTCTGATAGTGCGGGCCAGGGAAGTCATTGTATGATTGCAATTCCGAAAATTCCATCGACTTCAATCTCGAACTCAGAATCAGAAGAAGCCAAACACAAGCAAAACTATGCGGTCAGCAAAAGTTTCTCGTCCATCCGCTCTAATGATGGAAACCGCAAACACATTTCCTCGTCGGATTCAGTCACATATAATGGCGGAGGTCGTGAGTGACTTGGCCGGAGGAAAATTCTCTTTCTGTTTTCACAAACAAAGGTCTCATCGTATCTGGTATGAACGAACTGGCGTGATTATTTTTTTCGTTCTCGTCTTTTGCCCTTAATTAGTGCTAAAATAAACACTTGCGAATCCATGGTTGTTTGGCCAGGATTTGTGCAGGCAAACAGTTGGTCTTACAGATCCCGATGGAACTACCAGAAGAGGATTACGGTCTCTATTGGAAACAACTGCACCAGCCACCCACTCACACTGTCCAGTGGGATTGATTCAATTTAAAGAAAAACGCGAGGCAATTAGTGTGAATTATTAAACCGAAGGATCTCAATGGTTCGAGCTTCGAGAAAGTCCGCTACCTAATGAATGAATCTTGAATAATAAACAAACCTCGGGCGGTACCTATTCCACGTCGACGAATTTCTGCTGGTCAAATCGTTTCTTTTCAAGCTCCCCAAGGCCGGTGACCACACCAGCACCGGGAAAACTCGAGGAGGAGCCAAATGTATCAAGCTGACAGGCAGTAGACTGTGTAATGAATTCTGCCTTCCACCGTCTCCAACATCGTCTCGGTTATCTCATTGTCTTCGAATTAAGTGTACTTAATGACAGGCCGGAACAATAGAGGCGTACGCAGTTTGTATCCTGAAGGCGTGGGAAATACACTGACTCGTGGTCAAAGAGAGTAGATCCTTCTTTTCGTAGGAAAACACCATCGCTGAATGTGATCCGTGAAATTTGTTGTTGCGATCATGATCCTCTGGAAACATCGCATTTCCCTCCCCCTGTATTCCCGGTCCTGACTCCGTAACTGTTTCAGACACCATCCCTGATAAATTTTCGCCACGTCTCCTTTGCCGACGTCGTCGTCATCGTCGTTTCAAGTAATTAGCTACTTAATAATTTAGCGTGTTGACCGACCCGAACATGCACCGAAGTAGATACAAGCTTGTAAAAGAACGATGACGAGATGAAACTGGCAGAAATTAATTACCTGATCGGTGATAAAACGTATCTCTTTTAATATTAAAGCTAGTTCGTAATCAGCGGATGATGTGAAACACGTGTGTGGTGGCGCAATTGCATCTGGCATTCGATTGCTTCCGATCGGTCCCATACTCCCATCATCGCTACTGCCGCCGCCGGAGAACGGATGGTGAACGGGTGGATGACCAGAGATGAGAATAGAAAAAAAAAACGGAGTTAGTGAGTGAGTGATGTGGGGGCATTTTATGATGAAAGTGTGCTAACACGTTCGCTAGATTCATGATCGGGGTTTTTACGGGAGGATGAGCTGTCGAGATTAGTTCCGTGGTCGATACGGAAGATGTAAGAAATATGCTAGTGCTTTTACGTACCTATAAACAGTCCTGAAATATGTTGGATTATGTGGCAGTGTACCTCCGGGGGTTAGTGGTCTACAGTTGTGACGAAAGTCATCGTCTATATCTAATACGTTCGCTAGTAACGACTTCGATGATCTGTTTTTTTACCGGGGGAGTTGAAGATTATTATTATAGCCCCGTAAAGTTTGCGTGGTAGTAAAATGGAATAATCAATTAATCAATAGTTTTAACCAGCCATCAGATGAACCAACTTACCGCTCTTTCAGTTCGACGTCCTGTATGTGCGTTTTCCGTTCGGAACTATCCGACGTTGGCGTTGTCGGATATTCCTCCGATAATGCTCTACCAGGTCGGCTCATTCTTAAAATACATGGCAGCCAATATAAAAATATGATTCTAACCTGTTGGGGTGAAGGAGATAATACAATTGTTAAAATGATATGATTGCCTAGTGATTAAAATGACATATCCGGTGATCCAGGCAAGTTTGTAAGTTTTGTTAAATATTATATTTATCACTAAGTGTTTCCTTGTAGAGTCAATTTTTCCATCACACCCCGCAATCTCAAGAGCACACAACTCAAGATATACGAGGTTTATGCATCTGCAAATTTCAGACGTTGCTTGCTTCGTCGCAGCAAACAACAAGTAGGGTTCGCTACCCCATTTCCGGCCTATTAATCACAGCCCGCACTTAGTCTTTCTTAATCTAGCGCAGTTTAGCACCAAACGGAATGTTATTATTACTGATGGCTTCCAAATTTATTTACCTTTTCGTACGTACCGTAAGATTTGATAAAGAGATACCAATCGTTGAGATATTGTCAAAAGTCTAACACTGCTTCTTGACGCCAAACTCGGCCTACGGATTCTAAACTCGGTCTAACGCATTGAAACGCCAAAGAATTCACTTCGGCCTATCGGATGAAGATAAAAATTTATTCGGTCGGAGCGCTTCTTTTGTTTTTTGCGAATAATGAGTGCAAACCTTCATTTCTCGCGTTCTCATTGACTTCGTTCGGTAGCTTACTAACTAAAGTATTGTACCAAATGCATAATTGACTTGTTAACTCTGAAATCATGGATTTATTTGAAGTTGTCTGCTCGATAGACCCAAAATGGGTGATTAGGCCGAAGTAGTTCTCTACCCTAGTAGTGTCAACTACGTGTATTCACTGAAACCTTATTATTTTTACATGTGAAATTGCGAAGCGTAACATGAAAGAGGACGCAACAGGAAATCACCTCAACAACGATGCTAAACGTTGCAAAGAGTTGGAGAACGAAATAAACTTTGAGCAGATTTTTTTGGAAATTAAATATAAAAACTACAAGAGTTGTACGCAATGGTGACGTAGGACTAAGTGGTCTTATCTAATAAATCTTATTTGTTAAGTGCAGCTGTTTTTTGTGTAGAAATAGGAATTTGAGCAGGGTTTTCTCCGTAGCGACTCACGAAGAGCTACTGATTCCGATCAACAGCGGTGCGGCTTCTCCTTCCTTCCATGGATGCTCATGTGGACTGCAGCTCGCTGCTTGCAGGCAGCCTTTCGTTGTGTATTGGAGAGCAACACCACTCACCACGCGGTGATTGAATGAACACCGTTTGGTGAGACCGGATGTTATTCAACTTTGAAATCTGTGTTAGCGAAATCGCTTTTGGCAGGCAATCGGTGTTAATTTTAATTATCATAGCAACAGTTGCACCTTCGTGCAATTTTCAACAGAGACAAGTCTCAATTTTAACAGATTCGTAGAAAAAAATCGTATCGATTGGCGTATTATGAATTAAAATCCATCATCTCTGTATCAAAATCAGACCACTTTCATGCCGCGACCGACTTTGGTTTTTGAAATTGCACCCCCAATGTTGCCTTAAAGTACATGGTATGTTTGATTTAAATATGTCTTAATAGATCTGGAATTATGCTTAACAGCTTTTGTAAACAATGACTTCTCTCGCTGATTTTTAGGAATTCAAGGCACGCCCACGCAAACTAACATTACCGTCGGGGTCGTGCCCAGGGCTGAAAGTCTCTTTAATAAAGATATAAAAAAAAAAACCGTCGGGTAGGGGAGGTCTTACCTGATGGTGATGTTAATTTGCATAGGCGAGCCTTGACTTTCAAGACATCATCGAAAGAAGTTATTGTTTACAAAAGCTGTGACACCCTAATTCCAGCTCTATTTTGAGATGGGAGCTGACATCCGATTGATGACCTTGACAAATGGCCCCAAAAAACCTTTTACAAATTTATGGTGGTCCTCAAAAGGACCGTTTTGTCGTGATGGTTGAGTAATGCTGAGCTATTAGGGTGTTAAACGGGGTGTGCGGCTTCTTACTCCTTCTAGGTATGCTCATGTGGGCCACAGCTTTCGTTGTGTACTGGAGAACAATGTTCAACGCTACGCGTCGAAAGCACTAGCTGCTTGCGGGAAGCCTTTCGTTGTGTGCTGGAGAACACCACCACTAACCACGCGGTGATCGAATAAACACTGGATTACTCAATATGGCGCGTCATGAAGGCCAACGCCTGTTCTAAACGCCACCCTAGTACAGCAAGCCTCAGACAAACATTGACTGGTACCTGGAGAGAAATGGATGCAGACTACACTATTAGAACTTGCCGTGCATTCCGGAAGCGTGTGGAGGCCTTAATTGCAGCAAGTGGAAACTCAATCGATTATTCACATAGTTTAAGACTCTGAGAAAAATCCCCTTTAAATAAATTTAAAAAAAACTCGAAAACGAAATTTTTGAGAATTTTTTTAATTTTGACATTGCTCAATGGTGCAAACATTATCACGCATACGGTAATGCATAACAGAAGCCTACTTTATTATGTGTAACACTCGGCTTATCAACCAGACATTTCTCGCATAAGTTTTTGTATCCTGTTCTTTTAAAAAACGTTCTGTTTTCGAAAGTTCCTCCTTATCCAAATATAAGATGGCAGAACAGGAAACCCAAATTGATAAAAAAAATACCTACTTTGTGAATTGAAACTCAGTTTTCTCAACAATTGCGCATGCTGCAAATCGAACTAGTCAGATGAATTCAGGAAGGTCTATTCAACAAAATCCAAGCCTAATATTCAAAGGAAGGAGCTAAAATCCATCTTGGCTGAACATAAAAACCAAATTTTAACAAAACTACGTACTTTTGTCAATTTAAACCTGAATTCAGTAAGGTCCATTCAATAAAATACAAGCATAACTTTCAAATGACGGTATCAAAATCGAACCAGGCAGAAAAGGAAACCCAAATTTCTAAAAATATTCTTTTCGAATTACACAGCCGGTTCAACATTCACCTATGGATTCAGCAAGGTCCATTCCATAAAATACAAGCTTATTTTCAAAGATATGAGCCGTAATGAAATTTGGCAGAACCGAAAAACCAAATTTCTATGAAAATGCAGACTTCGTGCACACGCACATCAGTTTCAAGTGACGAGAACATTTTTACTCTCTCTCGCCACTTTTCTCTCTATTAACGTTGCGCCCGGGCATATCACATACGAGTTGTTTTTTGCTCGTTTGCTTCTCATTCGTAAATAATTGTGAGGTGTTCGAGAATGTCTCGTCGCTTTCCGACACGAGAGAGGTATTTGTGCTGCATGTACTTGAGACAGCTTAGAGCTCATGAGATTTTCTCGCGTACCTTTTTGCCTCAAAATAATATTTTGTGCTGTCGGGAGAAGTTATGCTTTTCGTGTCAGTTTTTTTTTTCTCCGTCAGTTTTTTTTTTCTCTGAAAGATGGCACTTAGAGTTGTTAGTGATGAAGAACTGTTCAATATAAATATCACCGCAAAAGAGGCGATTTGTTTGTTGTGCAACAAAAAGTTAACTGACCTGAGGAAATTCAGTTACCATCGACACTACAAAACGCTTCACAAGGATTTCGCACGACAACGAGGGCTGCTGGATGATGACGAACAAGGTGACGCTGGTCCTTTGAGAAAAATTTCAAAGATTGAGTTACGAATCGACCATAAAACCTATATTTCATCAATGGTCGAACTTGTAACCGTAAGTGGTCTTCCCTTGAATATGTTCAAATATCCTGCGTCAAAATATCAAAACATTGTAAGACCAATTGAGGAGGGATTTAAGTTGACAAAACACTTGGACCCGGATTCAATACGTGAGGTATTGTCAAAGGTGGCAGATCAAATTCAACTTATGATCACAAATGAAATTGCCAGTAAAATGGTTTGCCTCAAGATGGATGCAGTTACCCGAATGGACCGGGAGTATTTGGGAATAAATATCCATTTGTTGACAAAAAAAAAACTATTAGGATACGTACTCTCAAAATAATTGAGCTTCACGATAGACACACTTTGGCAAACCTGACGGTAGAAGTGCTTAAAACCTTGACGCCGTATGGGATCGATATCCGCCGACTACTAACGGTTACGACAGATAATGCTCAGAACATGCGTGCTACAATAAACCGTTTGAAGATAACACCCCAAGCAACATTGCAAGTTTTATTGAGGTTTTATAGCATTCTACAAGTTTAAATCATGGTCTACAGAACCCTTATAAAACCAGAATTGTTACTTGGGACAGGAACTGGAACTTAACGGATCTGGATTTTTCGATGACGCAAACATCGAGGAAGAGGAAGACGATGAAGAGGAAAATTGTGATGTCGAAAATCAAGAGGACGAATGTGTTGATCGGAAAATGCAACTGTTAGAGCCTATTCTTGAAGGAGTGAGATGCGCAGAACATACACTATGGGCCTTATTACGGGTGTCACTACACGGTGATAAGCAAGTGATACTCAGAATAAGAGCCGTGATTACCGTACAAATCAAATGGGAATCACTTCACCGTGACGACAAGTGACAACTTTTCACCGTGAAGTGCCATCCGTAATAAGCCCATACAGCTCGCCGTGAGTGATACTCTGCGTAAGTTACCGTATTAAAAGCTATTTGCTGTGAGCCAAAGCTAGACTGTCCTACGAGATGGAATAGTACATACACGATGGTACAATCTCTCACCAAAGAAAAGGATTTTATTTTGACGTTAGCAGATGGAGAGGAGCAGATCATTGGCGATAATATGTGGAGCTTTTTAGAGAGTTTCATCCACGCTTTCAAACCAGTAGCAGATGCTACATTACAGCTCCAAAACTCTCAGATAACCTTTGGTGACTTTTTCTTAATCTGGGAAAAATGTACATTCCATGTGAGAAGTGCAAATAACAAAATATCTAAGGTTATCGCTGAAAAGATGGACAAAAGGTGTGTCGTTCTGATGAGTAACAGATCTTTCTTGGCTGCAATGTCAATCAGCGAATTAATTTGCGAAACAGTTCGTTCATAACAGATAAAGAGAGAATCGTAGCATTGGTAATTCCACCTTTTTTTTTTTCGTTTTTTG